CAGCTTCTTAAATCCTGGAGAAACCATCAATTCTGAATTATATTGTAATCAAATTAATGCAATGCATCAGAAATTGGCAATAATGAAGCCATCTTTGGTCGATTGGAAGGGGCCCATTTGCATGACAACACCCAGCCACATGTCTCATGTGTGATATCATAAAAACTGTTGTAGTTTAGATATGAAACTCTGCCACATCCACCCAACTCTCTGAACCTCTCTTCTACAGTAATAATGTTTTTAGACACCAGGACCACTACTTACATGACAAAAAATTTAATGGACAAAGGGAATTAGAAAATGGGTTTTTGGAGTTTATCAACTCTAAAGATGGGAAACTCTATTCTGAGAGAATGGAAACATTGCTAACATGTTACCAGAAATGTATTGATAGTAGTGGAGACTATTTTGATTATATAAAACTTTTGTAAACCTTTCTTTTTTCTTTTTAAACCAAAATCCAGCATTATTTTCCAGATAACCCAATATTAGGGGAATTATTTGCATGGGCCAACAAGTAATTCTTATTGTGTCCATATAGACAGTGCCGGCCTTAGATATTTGGTCAGATAATGATATTATCTCCCTTCTCCAAAAAAATTAGTTTATTTATTAAACTGTTTTATATGAAGTGATGCTTTTATTTTATTTAATTCAATATGTCTCTAATTCAGCCACTAAGTTAATAGACTTAGATTACTTATTCTCATTTATTTAAATAATTGTAATTTATTACTTGTAATAAATATTTTATTCTTATTATTCAAAGCAAGTGGCCGGCGATCCCAACCAGCTCAGTGCCCCAGGACAATTGTCTAAGTTGCCTGGTCCTAAGGCCAGCACTGAATATAGATATTTCTTTACTTACAATAGCTGCATTTCGACAATTTTCTTCTATTTTCTCAATAAATTCTTCAATTGTCCAAGGCTTTTCATCAGGCAATATGTGTAAAGTAATTGATTGAATACTAGCAAGGACATAAAGTATTCTATTTTCATAAACATCATGTACTCTAAAACAAAATTCTTACCAGTAAAATAATTATATTGAGAGAAATATTTTTAAATTGTATTAAAAATTTAAGTTTAAAGTAATAATACATACTAATTATGCGTAATGCACATTATTTTTTAATTTTAAGCAATTAAACATTTTTTGATCATCTCAAACACTGGGCCTGATCTTACTGTGTTATTCCCCCTCTACCTTCTCCCACATTGATATAAATTTATTGCTGGTTTCCTTACAACTATTAATTTAAAAAGGCAAATGTTACCAGAAAAAAGTGGCCACACTTTCCCATAATGACTCCCAAACATTCTGGACTAATGAATTTGACTTGAGCATTTGGTTTAATTTCTCCATAACGGGACTTTTATTAAAGTTGGATCATCAAAGAATAAAAAAAAAATATATTTAAAAATTAATTGGCTTAGACTGCATAAAATAACAGTAAAGTAGATTTTTTCAAGTTGTTCACATGCAAGTTTAAAATTAAGTGCCATTTGTAATTAAACAGCCAACAATGACTAAAAAAAATTAAATGAAACATCTATAGAAATCCTTCCTCTTTATAAATCACTGATTAGGTTTTAAAATACCTGAAATGATTTCCTAGAAAATGCACTTAATTGGCAGAAACCAATACTAGCGTGAGCTCCTACATTCTTCTACCACATATTCAGTATTTATAAATGGCATAGCTGTAGTGCTATAATAACGTTTTTTGTATATTATTTTCATTACATTTGTGAGTCCATAGTGTGCAATAATTTAATAGCCACAAAAATTATAATTTTTTCCCCCTAAATTTATTCTATACTGATATTGAAGAGACATCTTCAATTTCAATTGTTTGCAATAACAATTTCTGTTTTATTGGTTTATTGAGTCTTATTGGTTTATTAAATTTGGTGCACAATAAAGGGGTCTTGTCCACAGACTATAAGTCTTTGCCTTATGATTATCTATTTTCTAAATAAAAATAATGATACTATTCAAATAAGGACATTTTTTTTTTCGATAATTGATTTGGATTTGTGTATTCTCTACAGTAAAATAAATTAATAAGATAAAAAGGTAAGAAAAAAATGTATACTTTGAGTTTATTTATACTGTAATCAGGATTGCCATTTTTTGTGGATAATTAGTTCAGTAAAGTAAAAGAGAGTAATTTGAAATTCAGAGACTAAAAAAAAAAGCAATTATAAAATGGGGTTATATATTAATAATACAAGTTTAATATAAATTAGGTGCATTTAATAGAAAACATAATTAACTTCTTATCTATATAAATAAAATAAAGATTTTATTTTGAATAGAATCAATCAATCAATCAAATAATGAATAGAATCTGTACATTGAATAGAATCAACCTGTTTTATGATGTATTTCCGTTTCATACATTGCAGACACCAAATCCACTATTAAAAATTTTGTTGTCTGTCTGCATGTCCGGATTGAAACAATATTTTGTCAGGGGTAAGCTCAGCAATGGCTTATTGGGAAATTTTGAAAATTTGACTTTATATTAAGGTTTGCTTGACTTAAAACATAGGCTTTAAATGAAAACAAAATATTGAGTAGAACCGAAGTTATGAATTATTGAGTAATTTGTCTAAAGATCTTGGTTAATGTTGATAATAAATGTTAATAATAAACATATGTTTATAGGTTAAAGAACATCTATATAAATAAAATAAAGGTTTTGTCTGTATATTGAATAGAATCAACGATATCTTATAGAATAGAATCATGATATCTTTACGTTTTATACATTACAGACATCAAATCCACTTTTCAAAAATTTTTTGTCTGTCTGGATATCCGCATTATCTAACGAAATTTTATCAGGAGTAAGCTCGGCAATGGCTAATGGTAGACTTTTGAAATTTTGGTATTATATTTAGGTTTTCTTAACTTAAAATATAGGCTTTAAATGAAAACAAAATATTGAGTAGAACCAAAGTTATGAATTCTTGAGTAATTTGTCTAGAGATCCCGGTTAGGCAGTTACTTACTTCAATTCCCATCCCAATCTACTCTATCGCGAGCCACATTTAAAAGTTGTACTACTCAACTGATGGAAAAAATTATCACAACTCAATCTCCTCTGCACGATCTCCTCGCTTCATCATAACTGAAAATTAAACACAGCAAATTTTAATGGATTGTTGATGGGTCGATTTAGTTGTGTGATACCTAAAAAAATAGCCGAATAACAAAGTTTTTGTTATGACTATTGCGAAACCTTGACTTCCATAAGCCCCGCCAGAAAAAAATTCAAAACAACTCCCCCTACTCTCTCCCGACCCAATTTTAAATTGAATGTCGATCTTCCCCCCTCTCCCAATAATACAAAATCTATCTCAAAAAAAGATTCTCAAATTTGAACTATACAACCGTCAACGACGGGTGCAACAGCTAGTAAATTTAATATAAGAATGAATAAATTTCATCTAAATTAATTAATCAATAAGTTTAAATAAATCTATATTGATTATATTTTGGCTTACAATACAGCCAAGTTGACAAAGAAACAAGGTTTCGGTTAAAGAAGTCTCATTTATCAGGCATGTAATTTCTCCTTAAATGTCTGTAAGGTTTCAGTTTAAATATTTATTTCCACTAGTAGTTTATTTTTGACACAATATATGCTAGTGTTTTTGATCCATGTGATAATCAAGATTTGAAATACAATAAACATATAAATGTGAAACCAGAGTAATTTCAATTCAAAGAGTGGGCATTTTCATAGAAAGTAGTTGCAAACGTTATTAGAGAAGTATGATATAAGTATGAGAGATTACAAACCTTTTATCTTTCCCGCCTTTAGCCTAGCCTTAATTTCATTTTATCTAGTTATCAACACTAAACTTCTCTACCTGTTCAAAGGTATTACCTTCTATTTCTATCTCACCAAACTCTTCTCTGTTTTCGCAGCTAACCATACATTTTTTCTTGTGGGATTAAGACATTTCCAGCTCCAGTTTTTTACTAGCTTTCATCAACGTTGTGGTATATAGTTTTATAGTTTCCATGTTTTAGCTTCATAGTACGAAATAATCAGCATACCGAACATGGATATTGTATAGCCCAGTTTCAAAACGTTTATGGTATGTATCACTTTTGTAATGGCATTTTCTAATGCTAAATTAAATAAAACAGGTAAAAGGAAATCATCTTCTTTTAAGCCCGAACGGACTTCAAATTTATCGTTCAAATAATTACCGATTTTATCTTTAATGAATGTTTTGGTTCTACACATTTTTATGTTCACTAACTTAGTCGGTATACCTTATTCCATCACAATATTGTAAAGTTTCTATTGGCCAGAAGCCTTTTAAAATCGATATAAAGCTTATGAACAACTCCATGGTAATCTGCCATAAGGAAAATATTTGATCACCAGTTCAGCCTAAAGACATATAGGTAGTCCTAACCTAAAGACAGTTCTAGTTTATAGAAAACTGTAGTTTAAAAATTTAACCCTCCAAGGCGTCTGAAAAGAAGATGGCCTCGTGATATACTTATATAAATATATTATTAGAGTGCTACCAATGGGTAGTTTCTCAACAAGTGTTTTCATGGGATTGTATTATTACTGTGAGCACATTTACTAGTTGTATTTTTTTTTTTTTTATAATACAGTTGTATATAACAATGAATAAAAAAAAAAAAATTACAAACAAAGAAAAGCTGCTACATTAATAAATAACTTTAATTAATCCTAGCTAAAACAATTTTGACTAATTCTAAGCTTTGAAGAGTAAAAAGAATAAATTGTTTAAAAATGAAAAAAGGGAGTATTTTAAAAATAAAATAATAGCAATCGAAAGTAATAGAATAAAAAATAATATATAACAATATTCTGGCCAATCTGGTAGAAATATTAAGTAACTTTAAAATATATCAATCATGCCTAATTAGTACTTTGTATTAACAAAAAATATGGTAATAAACGATGTTTCGTTAAATAAATTATACAACTATCAAAGAACTACCTAGTAACCAAAATGTCAAAATCTTTGATAGCATCATATACTTTATTTACAAATTCCTTCCACCCTGGATTTGTCCAATCAAGAGTAGTGAATGCTGGGGACAGCATAGCTGATAAACGAACAAGTTGAGGTAAAAATAAAGGTCGAACTTCCAGCTTTACTTTTTTGACTGTTGCCAAAAATTCTCTCAACAAATCCTGGAAAAAATCAATTTAATTCATGAGATTGTTAAAACAAAACGTACAGTAACAAAAAGAAAATAATATACCTTCAATAGATTTTGGATTTTAGAAAAGTGTTCACTTTTGGAAAGTAGAATAAGTGTCATTGCAGGACTCGGTAGATCCATTTGTCTCATGCACTCAGCTTCTCTTATCATTAATTTTATTTTGAAATCAAAATTTATTTTAATTTCATCACTTTTCTCATCCAAGATCAAAAGTTTTTTTCTTAAGGATTTCTCTGCTGACCACACCTAATAAAAAAGAAAGAATGATAAAGCTACTTATCAAGAAATATGAAGTACATGGTAAACCACTGTCCTTCCTTACATTGTGATTCATCCAAATTTGAAGAATCTGATTTTCATAGTCATTTAATGAAATAGACACATAAGTAAACTTCTTCTTCAATTCAGCAGTTTCAGGAAGAGATTTTAGGAGGGGATGTGTTGATACTGATTCAACTTCTTCTTTTAAATTATTTAACAGTGCTCGACTCCAGCTGATTCTCCCTAAATTAAAATTCAACATAAATGCCTAAAGCTAAAACAAAATATAATAATAGATGCTTACAGAGGGTATCTATCAGTACCTGCTAATGGAGGAAAATTTCTTGGAACTGGTGGATTTTGTTTCTGTTTTTTAAATACTTTTAAGACTTTATCGACTTCCTTGTCACAATATTTTATTATACGCAAGTATTTATCAGACATTTGTTTTAATGGAATTTTTTTGCTTACCTAAAAGAGAATTTTTTTAAAAAGAATTATATAGGAAAATCAATTTATTTTCCAAGCAATCTATTATTCCCTTATAAGATTTTTTGGAAGTAAAAAATAACAAATTTATTCCAAAGTATAACAATACAATTGTCGATTGGAAGTTGATGCAAGAACAACAGCTCATAAATATTATTATTAATGTAAATTTATAAGGAAACTCTTGGATATTATATCATAAAATTTGAATAAATAAATAAGATACATTTTACCTCCACTTATTCAGATATGAAATACATTGTAAGAGAAATTGTGATCTTAAATCTAAGGAATTTAACATCAGCTAGGTATTATTTTGTTTAAAATAGCCTGATGAGGCTTAAATGATGAATTTTCAAAATTTATTTTCGTCTTAGTAACTTTTCCCTTCCTTCTGAATACGATTTTACACCTTTTTTATTACCAAATTCTGAAAACTGTTGCATACGACAAACCCAGAATAAACTGTGCATGTGAAAGAATGAAATAGATGAAAAAAAAAAGTTATTTTTTACAGATTCCATCAATGTTGATAGGTATTTATATTGTCAAGTGAAGGTTTATAAAAAAAAAGTCATTGCCATTAGACCAAAAGGGCGGAGTGGGAAAGGGTAAGTGATAGGTTTGCATTAGAGGGAGGACACAAAAGTATAGCAGAGGAAGTTGAAGCAGTGCAAGAACTACTTCTATTGATAGCGTAAAAAGAAGAATCAGTAATACCAAGGATAATAATAGTAAAGAATTTGAGTTCTACCAATGGGTAGTTTCTCTTCATGTTGTACATGCCATGTTACAAATTTCTCATTTACTTATTGTATTCTCTATGTAATACAGTTGTAAATTCCATTGAAATAATAAAAAAAAAAAAAATAATAGTAAAGAATCCATAGTACTTAAAAATGGTCAAAGTTTCAAATCCTTTGCTCTAAACTTACCTTAGCGAATCTGTTAAGGAACTTGACACCATGGGTGGTTTCCCATATCCCCTTGTAATTATCTTCAATTGTTTGAGCAATGCTTTCTTTAAGAGCAGTGGTATTTTTTATAAACTCATCAAAATCAGAATCAAACTCAGCGTTCCTCTGGTCCAAATAATCGTATGTTTTTGAAGTAATAGCAGCTTTCATTTCATCGAAATTTTTTACAACAGCTTCAAGTTCTACACAATAAAATCATGAATTATAAAAAATAATTTATACCTTAGTCAGAAGGTATAAGTAAAATATATCATTGGAACGCGGAGAATTTTAGAAACAGCAATATCTAACATAGAAAGTCGTAGAAAGTAATGGAGAGTGACGAAAAAATATAAATAATAATTTCTGAAAACTAACATTAGTTAATGTAAATCACACGTTTCCAAGGAAATTAGATGGAATTTTCTTAATAAAGGTAAACGTTTACATTTCTTTTTTAAGTTTGACCAAAAAGTATTTAAAATCCACCAAATCAAGGCAATGACATTGTTTAAAATACTATTTCATCGTATTTGTCTGAAAGAAGAAGTGAAATATAAAAATATTTCTTGGATATGTAACCTTAAATACATATACTGTAGTTTAATAACTCTATATCTGATACTATATTTAAATAATTAGGTATCTATCGTCCCTTTATTCTGAAAAATCATCATATAAACTTTTAGAAAATTAAATTATTGAATAATTTGATGAATTTTCCTTTTGTGATATCCTAACAGTATCCACTTACAATTAGTGTGACAACTTTTGAACTATCTATGACAGGGAATGCAAATCTCGTAATTCTGTTTTAGTAAACTTAGCAATGGAAAAAAAAAACAGTTTTATAATAATACTCGTGCAATCTATAATCAATGGATCATACAATCCATAATCAACAGTCGATATAATGAATAGGATTTTCGTTATTTTAATGATATTAATGATGTGTTAACTGTAAGCTTTAAGCTTTAGCTAGGTTAAAAATACACTTCAAAACATTTTATAATAGTCCAACATTGCCAGAAAATAATTTCTATTCAAAGTAGAGCTGTCGCATTGATGATGTCTGATAATGGAAAATTAATACATATATCAGTTCAATCGGTTGTGTAATTATATAGCTAAAAATGAAATACACATTATTTTTAAAAAATAAAACATATTTGCCAGTTGCTGAAGAGAAAGTTTCACTTCAGTAACTGGCCAAGGAAGTAAGAGGGACCAGGAATAGAATAGAGGAGTGGAAGAGTGGAGATGACGTTCCATAATTTGCTAAAGTTTACACATAATCCATCAATAGCAGCACCTTTTGGCCCAAATCTCACTTCTATCTTTTTAAACCGACTTAATATCTGGTATAGTTAAGAAAACTGTGCTATGGCCATATTTTGATCAACTGGAACAGTTCCATATACTTCAAGTTTTCAACTAAGTACTGATTAAATGCTGGGATAAGAGAGTATGTATGATCCAGATTGATGTAAATATCTTTTTATAAAATTATAAGTAGGCAGTTTTTGGATGATTTCATATACCTAGCTATACCTAGATCAGGTAGAAGCTGCGATAAGACTAAACAATGAGGAAAAAAGGAAACACATGTTGATTAAGCATTTTTACAATGGTGTAGAATAGATAAATTATTAATATAAGAGAGAATCCTATGACAGTAGCCTGATACAGGTTTTATTGTGAGCAGGCATAACATCCTGTTTCTGGCATCAGCTGTTATCTCAAAATGTACAGCCTGCAGAATAGTTTTCAGTTAGAGCAATTGACATCACATGACATCAAACTACAGAATATATATTTTTATGATTCAAATACTTAAACCTGGTATTAGTAAACAAAAAATGTTTAAAATTTAGTAATTTTAGAACATGATTTAGGAGAATGTTTTCTATTATGACTAACCCAATTATTAATATAATGGGAGTTTTACTGGGATATAATGTACAAATCTGGGACAATGGGAAATGTATTTTCTTTTCTTTCAAATGTTATGTCAGTAAGTGATAATTGGGCATACATTGATGTTCATAGTATAGCACAATATTATAGAGCAAATCATGATATTTTAATAATACAAACAGAATATTTATTACCATCTCCAAGTAAAAGACCTAACAAAAAAAAAAAAAATTAATCAAAACACTATTTTACTCTGATATAAAATTAATAAGAGGCTTCAGACTAAAATTTACCTTCCATTTTACTTTCAAACAAGTTATTATAATTCTCAACTAGATTAAACATAGTTATAATTTTTCCCAGCCTCTTGCAAAATGTATCAAATTTTCCAAAAACATAGTTTTCTGAAAATTGTAAGGAAGGTTGATCTGGCAATAAGGATTGTTCTTTGACCTGAAGATAAGCCTCATGGTATACTTGATTTAGCTGAACACAATGTTCTAATTTTTCTCTAACCATCTTTTGGTCCTGAGACCAAACAGTTTCTTTACCATGACAAGTGATATACTGTTTACAGGCTCTGATCATCTGGTTCGTTATCTAATATAATAAATATTGATAACTGAGGTCTGACAATTAATTGTATTAAATTAAATTAAAATGACTAGCTCATACTTTAACCATAAGAGCTGATGTCCTTTCTGATGTATTATAATATTGAGAAACACTATGAATCAGCTTAACAGTTTGTAATAGTCGTAGTATAGAAGACTGCATCCGAACCTACAGAAAACAAATACAGTAATTAGATTTAATATAAAATATAAAATAAAAATCTGAATAACATTGATTAGATTACAGGGTCATGAAGATAGAGAGCATGACAGGACTTCTCTATGGACTGAATATATTTGGCATTATCTCGTGCTTCATTAAAACAATATATTACACCCTGGCGAATTTCTTTCCACTGCTTGATAGTTTTTGATTTCAAAGTTGTTAAACAATGAATTGTAGTTTTTACCTACGAGAAAACCATTGTTCTGTTATAGTATTATTTAAAATTAAAATAAATTATAGGAAAAAGAAATTATGACTACTTCATGGTCCTCGAAAAGAACATTTATCTGAGAAAGTTGAGCATCTCTTTTCTTCCAATATTCTAGTTCATCTTGAGGTCCACTAGAATCATTTTCCTGTCTGAGTTGCTCGCTTTCCAGTATTACCTAATAACATATTGAGGAAAAACAAATAATTATATAATATAAACATAGCTAATATGTAGATGTGGAATACATACATCGTTAATCTTTTTTATCCAGATCTTTACCCTCTCTTCTAAAATTTCTTTATTTCCAGGTTCGGAAATATATTCCTTAACTTCTTCATAGGAGTTTATATTTTCCATTAAAGTTTTATCATCATCAAAAATATTTTTACTTTTGCATACTTCTTCACAAACTAAAAATTAAATCTTAATTAAAACCACAGATACGTATTAGAAGTAAAATCATGAATTGATTCTTAATTTGTGGATGGTGAGAATGAGTTGTAATATGAACAAAATTAGTTTCAATCAACAAAATAAAGAAGTTTTCAGTGAGCTATCTGATTTTATATCGCTGCGCAAACTTCAAGAATTTTAAAGTAATTTAAGAAATAAGAAAATGGAGTAATTTATATATTTTAATACTAGGTAAATTAAATTATATTTATACATATTTTTTAATATTATATAAACATTTCATTAGCACAAAATTAGATAAAATATAAAATTTATAAAAAAAATATTTAAAGATTTTTTTGAAGATGGAAATGATACCCTGAATAGTTAACATTATAATGTGACTATTTCTTAAAAAAATGAAATAGTTGTCATAAATTTTATTGTCATGAAGTTTAGTTGCCTTAAAATTAATTAATTAATTCATTACATATTGATTTTCCAGAAAATCCAAAAGATGGATAAAAATAATTAAGGGGAGATTTTAATAAAAATTATTTAAAATATTTGAATCAGAAAGAGAAAATATCTTATACCTATAAGACAATAAACATTAAAATAAACATAAGTTTTGCACCTTTCAGAGCACTGCAAAATGATCTCAGACCTGGTAGAAGCTGATCTCGAACAATACTTCCTGCAACTTCATCATCTTCGGCATCAATTGATGGTTGAGCTAATACTTCCATAAAAACATGCTCCATGACCCGCTGAACTGTTGTCACTAACCCAACTTTTCTGGCATTAATTACCCCACAAAACAAATCCTAAATAAGAATAAGAAGGAAAAAAAACATAATTGATGGTATATTGCACAATATTTTAGTAACAGAGATGTGACAAAATTTATTTTTAGGAATATAACGATTTTTCAATAATATCTGTAAAATAAGCTATCACACCTTCTGAAAACCTTCTTCTGGTAACTGTTTTACGGTATTAAGTCTAAACATATAGATGCAAATTCCAGTAAGTGGGCAGGACCACCCATCGGTGAGAAAAAGTTTCTTCTTATATGAAACTGTATTTTGGACTTGCGTTTTCACATTAGTTTGTATTCCTCTCAAGACTCCTTTTCCCTGAACCAATTAAAATTAAACAGTAACAATTAAAATTTAATATTTAAAGAAACAGAATTTCTACTATCTGCTCACATGGTCAACATTAGGGACTGATACTTGCTCTTCAACTTCTTGGTAAAACCAAATAAGTTTGTCCCTCATATGGGGCAAGAAAATTTCGTTGATCTGATCTAACTGAAATTATAAATTAATTAATTAAATTGATAAAAAGTTAAATTATGAGAATGATGTCATAAAGCAACCATAAGAATAACTATAGTACAATAGTTTATAGAATGATTTATCATAATTATATTGTTACAAAAAAGAACTTAATAAAGCAATGTAAAAAATAATTACCATGTTTCCCTCAAAAACATTATCCATGATCTCAGATCTCGGGAGGCCTGTTGCGTCGATAAGCAGCTGGAATGTGTATTCCAACCGGGGATCCATTTCCCCTCTTCTTGCTTTTCGTTCGCATTCTTCTCGCCTTTTCTGAAACAATAAATAACAGCAAAATAAGATATCCGTTTAAAGCTTAATACCATTAAAAATCCAATCAAGATTAATAAATATCGCCATTTATTACAATCTTGTTTATTTTTGCTGTAAAATAAAATAGGAAAAGGTATGGCTTAAGTGGTTTAGCTATGTTTGGGGCCTTTGGCTAGAGTCGGAAATGGCACTCCCTTATCAGGTCATTTAAAACCCTGGAAACCACTTTATATATATATATATATATATATATATATATATATATATATATATATATATATATATATATAGAGAGAGAGAGAGAGAGAGAGTGAGTGAGAATATGGCATATATTATAGCACTTGATAAGAACAAATTCTAAAGATTTTGTCTTGTAAGACATAAGACATTTTCATTCCTTTTCCTAGTGCCGTAATGGTTTGCACTTTCATGTTGATACCGCTGTGTAATGCACAACTTGTAGTGGCATGCACTTTAGTACATTAGGAGGAAAACATATTTTGACAGATTTTTTGAATTTATGAGTGGTTAAGAATGAAAAGTTTCAGAATAAGGAACAAGGAGGAAATTAAAAAACAGATCGCAGGAAGTGTAATTGTGTATGATCTACGATTATTCTAATTCTACTTTCCCCTTGCTCTGTTTTTATGAAAAGGTGAGCAATACAACATAGCGAAAGGGGGAGGGAGTAGGTTCTTGTACCATCGACCTTGGGGGGAGGGATGGTTACCGCTGATAAGCATGTCATGAAAAGCGGGTTAAAGTCAATCAAACCACTTGATGGAATTGTTTTTAGAAGGTAACTTTTTGTTTCTTGTCTTTAATGTGACTGAGATGCAGAATCTGAATTTTCGATCTTGGTGGATCTCCGGATAACTTTTGAATATCCCAAGAATTGCTAAATTTTAGCCCTTTCATCGTTTCTCCCCATTTTCACCATAATAGAAAAGTTATTGACGAAAACATTTTTAAACTAGATTAAATTTACTACAATTTAAGACTAAAATAGGTTCGGTAAATCTACTTGTTTTCGAACTATAGATTTTCGCAGTTTGACAAATTTTCAAAGCTTGAAAATTTTAAGCTATAATAATTTTTATTTTTCTTCATACGCAATTGTCTTTATATCTTAAATATTAGACAGGTGTAACATGAGTCAGTGAAATAAACATTTATTCAATTTAAAATTTTGAAGGGGGAATGGCGGAGGAAGATGGAGGGTTGATGGGAGTGGAGAAGTTTACTGTTTACAACCAGACAACTCTGTGATCCTCCTCCACTCTGACCTGTCTTCGGTTGCCTTCTCCATCTGCCGACACCCAATGTCCGAAGGTCCTCCTCTACATCCTGCAGCCCCTGAAGTCTAGGTCTCCCTCTGCACCTTCTTCCACCAGGGTGTCCCTCCATCACCATTTTTGGTAGTCTACTACTTTCCATTCTTTGTTCGTGCCCCACCCACCTTATCCTCGCACTCTTAATCGTGGCAAAAATATCTGGTATTTCATATAGATTTCTAATTTCCTTGTTTGTTTTCAAATGCCAGCGATCTTCTTCTTTTGTAGAGCCAAAGATCTTTCTGAGGATATTTCTTTTCCACATGTTTAACAGCTTTTCATTGTTGCGTGTCAGCGTCCAGGACTCGCTTCAGTATATGACCATTGGCTGAAGGACAGCGCGATATACTCTTTTTTTTTTTAGAGCTCTAGATATATCCCGGTTTCGAAATATTTTCATTAGAGACCAGTGGTATAGATTGCCTGCTGTTATCCTTGCCTTAATTTATTCTCTGATCATGCACAAATACTTAAGCTGTTGTACTCTCTCGAAACGATATCCAGCCTCCTCGACATGCCTGTTCTCTCCTTCTTCCTTGCTGGTCCTCATATAGTTAGTTTTTTTCCGTATTAATTACTTGTCCTATTCTGCTAGCGGCTACTTCGCACTCCTCGAGTGCTCCAAGTAATGCAGTAACTGTTCTTCTTTTAATCACAATATCATCTGCAAACGCTAGATGTTGCGTCAGACTATGGTAGGTACTTCCTCCAGGTCTTGTCTGGATCGACCTCATGACCACTTCCAATACCATATTAAACAAAACAGAGGAAAGAGGATCACCCTGTTTAACACCTTTCTGAATATCAAATTCTTTTGAAAATTCTCCTTGAATTTTGACAACTCCTTTGCTGTCCTGCAGTGTCATCTTAATAAGCGTGATAAGCTTCAAAGAACATCCTAGATATTTTAACTTGTCATACATTCAACTTCTGTTTATGCTGTCGTATATATCTGTTTATGCCTATTCAACATTCCATTCCCAGTATTTTTCTAGTATTATATTTTATTTATTTTATTTTTCTAGTGTTGTATTTTATTTTTCAAGTAAAACATTATTCTCATGCAAAAAATGTGGTCCATTGCAGATCTTCCAGGGCGGAATCCACACGTGTAATCGCTCAACACCTCTTTTGCTTTCTTGACAACTCGTTTTATTAGTTTGACAGCACCTTATAGACTGTGCATCGTAATGCGAATCTTCTATAATTCTTACAATCCAATTTGTCTCTTTTTTTATGGATTGGCAACATTACAGCCACCTTCCATTCACTAGGCATTTTCTCTTTCGTCCATATCAGTAGTACCAATTCATATATTTCTCTATGAAGTGCCAGATTTGATTGCTTCTGCTGAGATCCCATCAATTCCTGGCGCTTTATTATTTTTAAGGACATAATGACTTCTTCTACTTCCTGAGGATCTAATGGTTCAAGCTCTTCTGCTGTTCCGAGTTCACATATTGTTTCTTCATAGATTTCCTTTGAATTTAGCTCCTCTTTAAAATAATCTCTCCACCTGTTGATCACTTCGTTCTTGTCACCCAAGAGTAGACCTTCCCTGACTTTACAAAAGGATATTCGCGATCGAAATCCTTTTTGTATCTTTTCACTCTGCCATAGAAAGATCTGCTGTTTTTGTTTTCGAAATCCTGCAAAATTATTTCCAGATCTTTATTTTCCTTTTTTCTCTTTTTATGTCTGCAGAACTTTCAGAGTTCCTCTTTTATGTTTGTATTCTTCGCTGGTCTGTCTTGTACACTGCTGTAGCATCCTTTCATGAGCTGACTTATCTTGTACTGCTATTTCTCATTCAACTGTTCATTTTCTCTCTCTCTTCTTCGCCTATCGTCTCGTCCGCCGCATTCCTTACAGCTTGACTTATTCTAAATTATTCCTTTTGTATATCTTCTTCTTCGGTCTCAAGTGCATTGTTTCATAGATTTTTCCACTTTTATTATAAACAGCCGTTGTTTCTCGGGATTTTTCAGATCTCCAACCTTATATCTATTTCTTTCTTTCTCTGTTTTCTCTCTTGATTTGATGGCTAGTCTGTTTGTATCTTATCCATACTAGATAATGATCTGTTGAGCAATCTGCACCTCATAACTTCCCACATCTTCTAAATCACTTTGGTACTTGCTAACACTGATTACATAATCAATCTGGTTCTTGGTTTTTCCATCTGGCAAGACCCATTTTTCCAAGTAGATAGTTTTATGTTGGAAGGATGTACTTGAGATTTTCAGGTTCTTGCTAGAGGCGAAATCTACTGTTCTGTGCCAATTATCATTGCTGTACTTGTGGAGGCTACACTTTCCTACTCCTCTTCCTGATGTTTTTTCTCTCCCAATTTTACTATTAAAATCTCCAAGAATTATTTTGACATCCTATTTGGGAAGTTCATCAAAAGCTATTCCTAACTGGTCGTAGAAGGCTTCTTTCTCCTCATCTGTCTTCTCTACAAAACAATTATCTTGGTCAAACATATCAAGCTACTTTAAAAAAACACAACGATACAGGTCCTCGGTGGGATCCCCAATCATTCGACTGTGATAAAAAGATACAAAACAATTATTTTTAGGAAACACTGGAGGGGGCCCAAACATTAGCCAAAATAAAAAAATATACAGAACAATTATTTTGGGGACAAAACATACCACGTAGAACCCTAGAATAATACAAAACAATCTTCTGTGCCACGGAGAGGGCCCCTCCCAATCATTCTATGGCGATGAAAAAGTACAAAACATTTATGTTCGGGACTCATCAGAGGAGTTCCAAATATTTGCGGAAATAAAATAATACAATACAATTGTTTTTAGGGCCAAACATACAATGGCACTAGGTAAATAGAAAACAATGATGTTCGGGTTTCCCCAATCACTTTGCTCTAGATTTTAGCAACCCCTTGTTAGTTAAAGTTGATTTAGCGTGAAACTAAATTAATGAAAAATTACACAATGAAGCAAGGAATGGTTATCTTTAGGTTTAAAAACTCCCCTAGCTCGCGAGAGATCATAGCTTATTTCATGGTTCAGCTTAAAATTACTTTTAAATTTAAATTACACTTAGCCACTAAAGTTAGTATGACATAAATGTTAATTTTATTCATAGTACACTTATCAGTTTTATTCTAATTTTTAACAATTAGTAAGTATCCATAATATAATCAGTAGAAAAGTTCTTCTTAAAATTTAACAATGTATGAACATGTGGCATATTCAGAATATAAAAAATTTATGTCTTATAAAAGAACAGCATCAAGTTCCTTTAGTTTTTATTCCATTTAATTTAAATTTTACAGATGCCAGTTTTTCTTTATACCTTATGCCTTAACACATACCTTCTGACATAATTCATCTGGATGATCAGCCATGATGCCTGCCTGCCAGCTCAAGGACAAGAACAATCTGCTCCGGTCCAAGAAGCCCGCTGCACTGAGCCTGTGCTTGGCGACATAAACTGCATGACTAATAACAATATTTCCCTTAAAACGCGAGTCTGTCACAAGATAGGGCAGAATTCTTTATAATGGAATCGATTTCAGATTAAACCTTCGGAATTTATTCGAAATCTCTGCTATTACGTGGAGGGGAAGAAAGCCCTGCCGTAATTGGTAGAAATTCATTTCCCTAGAAGGTTGTGGATTTTTTGTAAAATTTCTTATAAACTGCCTGATACCAGTGGGAACGAGGCATTTTCATCTTAGGAAGCTACTCGTTTTCACATTTAAGTTTAGAATTAAGTCGTAAAAGTCTATTTCTCTTAATACGATCTGGCAAATAAGTTTTAATATGATGGTGGTAGTGGTAATGTGAGCTACTGAGTCTTATGAGAAATAATGGGATCAATTGTTAAAAAAAAAAAAACTCTAAATCACAAAATTGTTCCATAGGTTTGATCTATTTCTCACAAGGTTTATGATTCCATCAAATCTTTACAAAGTTTTATAAATTTATTTTTTATGTTTAACAAACAGCAGGAGGTTCCGGTCAAACTAAGGATAAGTTATTTGTATCTATCTTGATTAATAATGTTCAAAAGTTAATTTAATTAGTTTTTTCTACCCCATATGGTCAGGACTCTTCCACCATGAGCTGCTCAATGGAGTTTTTCCAATTTCGATCAATTAATCTTATCAGCAGAAAAGTTCAAGAGGACATTTATATAGTTGGCTTGATTGCATGACTGCAGATGTGCTACATAATGATAAGCGAGGATTATCTTTCATTCAGATCCTGAGGAGGTGAGTATTCAAAGTCGTGGTTGGGAAAACATCAACTGATTTGTATCGGTGAAGGTCAGATGGAACACGAGAATTTGTATCAAAAAGAGTAGCCTGTTTCCCTCCCGCGTAGTGTTCGTAAACTTGCTAAATATTAGTTCAGAGTTGTTCTTATGCAGCTTTTAGCAGCAAAACATTTAGTTGGTAAATGGTGCATGGGCATCTGGGAGCCTTACTTAGCTAGGGCATCGCCTAGTTCATTTCCAAAGATTCCAACGTGCGATGGCATCCATTGCAGCGCCCGATCGGCTCCCAGGTAAAAAGCCCTTCTAAGAGTCGTCTTCGTCCCTCTAGAGCGTCATAAGATTTTTTCTGTAAATATTTATTGCCGTTCTCATTATTTGCAATTCAATTTCCCTCACACCGTTATTTTTCAAAAGCAGTATATTTGATTCATGCATTTTTTGTCGTTAAAATACGTGTTTCGTCGGAGTCACTGCTTTAGTTTTTATTTTGTTGTGAGATATTTAGGAATGGTTTCATGTTGAAAAATTTCAGATTTTTATGTCCCTTTTATCACCAAAATTGATTTAATTCTTACACAGCGCTGTCTTCTCACTTTCCACCTCCTGGATCCTGTATGTGATGAAAATAGGTTAAGCTGCGACTAAAATGTTATCCAGTCTCCTACAGAACAAGAACTTATAGTAGCCAACACAAGATTCTCCTAAATTGTTTCCATTAAATGTTGAAAACTTGAAATGATTGATTTTTTTTTTTTTTTTTATCTTTCACAAATTTTATGTCAATTAACATTTTTCAACTTTACTGATTGATTTCATCCTTTTAAGTATTTCTTTTACAATTAACAATAAGCTAATGATGGTTGAATTAGAGTATCCTCCATACTTTATGTAGAAATAAATATTTTCATATATAGAGAATTGAAAGCAAAAATTGTTGACTGTATAATATATATATATCTTTTATGTCCACTACTCCATCGTCTTTAGGTTATACGGGTATTTCCCGAGCAAGGGGGGTTAATGAGATAGTTAAAAGCCCTCATGGCACCGGGACCGGAACTCGTATTTTTTTCATATCTTCTAAAGATTGGTTTATCAATCATCGTATTAACGGGCAACACGTGGTTTGCACATGCATTAGCCCGCTTGGCCACGCCGCACAGTGGGACGAGTAAGGGAAAACTCGCGACATCGGATAAATATATATTTATTTTTTTTTAGAACTCCAAAAACTAGATAAACTGTTTTATTGATACCTTGTGGAGTTCCCGAGGATATTTACTGTTGTCAGAATATACATTTTCCACTGTTTTATTGAATAATTCAATTGAAAAAACGTCTGCCAAGTAAAGTCAGTATAGCTTCCTCACCGTTCTCATTGGCTCTATATTTGACGGTCTATAATTTTTCGTATAAGAATAAAAGCACCGGGTGAAGCCGTTTTCGAAAATACAGTAATTCCTCAACAGTCACGGGTTTGATATCCACGAATTTTGTTTATCAGCGAATATTAAAATGGGGAAGAGTTCCACATTTCCAGATCGCGTATTTCATGATTCGTGATTAAAAAAAAACTCCAGTGCCTACTGAATAATCAATCATATTACTATTGTTAATACAAAAGGTCGAATATATAAGTTAAGTGTTTTACAGGACAGTATAAAAACTAATTATTTCTCTATGATTTATTAGTATAATATCAAATGTTATTGCCCTCTGCTATTTTGCATACTAGCGGACTATCTATATTAGTTGCAAACTACAAAATGTCACCTTTAGCACAAATAGAATAAAAATTGATAAATTATATGTACGTCTTTTAGCACTAACAGTAGCGATATATACTTAATAGATATGATGTTCACTCGTAAAATGGATGGATCCAAAACTTGTTTGTTCGGGACTAACGAGACCAATATTTTTCTTCAGTCAGAAAAAAACTAATTTAAGCTAGAATATAAAAATATGAGTGAAGTTCACATAACCTTGATGTTGGGGAGGAAATCGAGACTGCTACTAGCTGGTTGAATTTCAATAGAAATAAACACAATCACAAATAAGACTTTTTTTTACTAACTCACCGTAAAAATTAATTACTCTTACTTATTGATCTAAGTAACGGCAGTTAGTGTCATGCCAGTAACGTTTTGAATCGACCAAACAATATAAATTTAATACAAGTATAAATTAATTTTTAAAATAAAATCTTATTAAATTTTATAATTATAAATAATATTTTTTTTAAACTAATATTATTTAACGTAAATCACATGTTTTTAATGAAATTAAATGAAATTTCCTTACTATATGTAAACTTTTAAATGTTTTTCTATGATTGAAAAAAGTATTTAAAATCCACGGAATCAAGCCAATGCCATTGTTTAGAATACTATTTCATCAAGTAGCCTTTTAGAAAATTAAATTAGTGAATAATTTGATGGATTTTCCCTATGTAAAATCCCAACATTATCCACAGTGAGACAACTTTTGACCTATCCATTGCAAGGTAATGAAAATCTCGTAATTTTGTTTTAGTAAACTTTACAATGGAAAATAACAGCTTAATAACTAATAGTGTTGCCCGAATGCGAGACCGAGACGAGTCTTGGTCTTGCAAACTCAGACTTGGTCTTGGTCTTGGTCTTGCGCAAGACTCTCGTAACAGACTTCCAGTTGCCTATTAGCTTATTACTAGAAAGATATTACTTTAATTTCTTAGATATGAGAAACCTAACTAAGTCTGAATAAAAAATTAGAAGAGTTAAATGAAAAAGTATATTGGTTACACCAATTCTTTACATATAGTAACTAAAATTGTCAAGTATCAGTGACTATTTTGCCTCAAGTTTTATTCAAAAAATCGATTTTTTTACCAGTCTTGGTATTGGTCTTGCAACAGATAGGCGGCGTTAGTCTTGGTCTTGAAAAGTGCAAGACCAAGACCGATTTCGCACACTACTAATAGCCCTACGATCCATAATCATTTATAGGTTAATTCAGATATACTTTCAAACATCTATAGGCATATATGAGCCTTTCGGTTGACAGAATGACTAACTCTAAATTTAACATTCTTCATTATTAATTTTGTGATGTTTCTAGTGGCTAAGTTTATACCTTTATTCACAGTTCTATATTTCAACACTGCAATCATCTCACTATCTGCATAGATAACTTTTTCAACTAAAAATATCACTAAAATGACATTACTCAAAAATGTTAAAATTGGAGTTAATCAATCTGTGGTTTATAAAAGCAAAGAAAGCTGTGTGGTTTATAAAAGCAGATGGAATGACTAGATTTTTATTGCCTATCGTGGGCATAATAAATAGACATTTTGTAATTATAATGGTCTTAATGACTTGTTATCTATAAGCTTTAAGTCTTAGCTCCGATTAAAATGGAATTCAAAAATTTTATAATAGCCCAGCATTGCCAGAAAAAAATTTCTATTCAAAGTAGAGCGATAAATAAAAGTTGTGTGTTGCGCGCACCAGATTTTTTATTTTACGTTTGCAGTTTAACACTATGATTTGTACATTTACTGATTCTTAAGGGTAATTTAAATTACATATACTTTCCCTCAAATGAGTCATGTTAATAACCGTTTTATAAACTAAAACTTTATACCTTATCTAAAAATATATACCTAATCTGAACTACATATAATAAATAGTTGCCGGATTGTTTAGTAAAACTCATATATCACTAATAAAAAAATTTTTATTTCCTTTAATTTGTTCAAAAGTTGGGCCATATCATAAAAAAATAGAAAATTTTAATATTGAATGCATTATTCTCTCTGCACAAAGAAAAGATAGATTGGAAGGAGCTATAAGTTCTTCTAGATAACCGGAACTGATTGTTAGTATTGGTCTCAAAATGAGGGAAAACGAGAAATTAAATTGGAAAAATACATTAATCGAACGAGAAAGGAAGTGCTAAAATCTCGGAAAAGAAAACAAGGATCAGTATCCATTATGTGGTTAAACGAATATATAATAGAAAGATAAACAGAATTTTCCAAGATGCTGTTAAAAGGGGGTCAAATGCTAGAGCGGTTTTGATGATATTAAGGGGGCGATGCAGGTTTATTATGTTAAAGACTATTTTATCAGCAAGAAATATTTGTTCGAAACAATTGGCAAGCCAGCTGTGGTCTGGACGAAGTAAACCGAACTGTTTCACACTGTTTTGCGCGTACATAGGCAATAAATGTATTAGAAAATGATATGAAAGTACTGTAGTTTTGTCCATTTAAAAGAAAGGAGATAGTAGGAAATGTATTATCCATCGAGATTCATTGCTATTTAGAGTACCAAAGAAACTCTACTCAAGAATCGTAGAAGCTAGAATAAGAAATATTGTCGATGCTAGAGGGATATGGATTGGGAAATTCAAATTACACATTGGAAAAGACGTTGCAAATTGGGTCTTCACATTAAAGCAGGTTATAGTGAAGTCCACCTAGAAAGTAAATAGCTCCCTATCTCTTTAATGCCTCACACTTTGGATTGTGCTAATATCTACTAGTCTTTCAGAAAAACTTGTTTTCCTTTCAGATTCCTTCAAAAATCTTTTGCAAATGTACTAAACAGAAGGTGAGCTATTTTCCCTTATCTCATCTTATAATTATCGTCCCCTTAATGTCATCCAAACTGCTCCAGCATTTGACTCCCTTTTAGCAGCATCTTGAAATATTCTGTTCATCTATCTACTATGTATCCGTTTAGCCATATAATGGATAATGATTTTAGCACTTCTTTTCTCGTTCGATTAATCTATTTTCCATTATTTGGGTTCAATCTCGTTTTTTCCTTTATTTTGAGACCAAATACTAACAATCAGTTCCGGTTACCTAGAAAAACTTATAATTTCGCCCTTTCCATCTTTCTTTGTGGAGAGAGAATAATCGATTCAATATTAAAATTTCCTATTTTTTTATGATATGGTCCAACTTCTGAACAAAATAAAGGAAATGAAAATTAATTTTTTATTTGTGATATATGAGTTTTACTAAACAACCAAACGATTATTCATTATATGTAGTTCAGATTAGGTATATATTATTTTAGTTTATAAAACAGGTATTATTATGACTCATTTCCGAGGAAGTATATACAATTTAAATTATCTCTAAGAATCAGTAAATATAAAAAAACGAAGTGTTAAATTGCAAACGTTAAATAAAAAATTCAAGATACTGAACAAAGTATTTTTAAATTAAGTTTTATTATTACAAATATATCATTTTTTCAATAGAGGCCTTCTTAACCGACGTTCGTATAGAATAAGAGAAATTAAGTTTAAAAAAATAAAATAAGCATTAAATTAAAAAGAAAATATTTAACTTTTTGACAATTAAATTATTGCATTAATATGTTTTCGTTAATACAATCCATATAATGTACCAAAAAATGTTTTTATAGCACTATAACTAAGCTATTTATGTGTACTGAATGGTGTGGTAGAGGTCTGTAGGCACTTATGACAGTACCGCATTTCTGCCGCTTAAATGCATTTTCTACGAAATGCTTCAAATATTTTAAAAATTAATAAGTGTTATAGAAATATATTCTCCAGATGTGTTAATTCAGCACGTTGTGCGTTATTGTTGGCCGTTTAATTACAAACGACGCTTAATTTTCAACTTGAAAATTTTTTCGTTAAAAAAAATTGATTTTACAGGTGTTTTTATTGCCTAAGTCAATTAGTTTTTAATATTTTTTCATGTTTTCTTATTGTCTGACTATCAAGCTTTAATAAAAGACCAACTATGACGAAATTAAGCCAATTTCTGATTCTCAGTGACCAAAAAACTAACCTAAATCAAAGTCGTCAGTCCGCCATTTTTGGAGGCCATTTTGGTGCAGTTCGTTCCCCTTTTTTTTTGTGAGAACATTGGCTTGTTTTTAATAAATAGTTACAAGGAACACAACGAATTTATAGAGAGGTGGCTCAGATCACATTATAATTTGTCTTAAATGAATTACACGTGATTCTAATGTGTAGTTTGTTTCAGTAGCTTTAATAAAATTCATTTTTCAGATCGACTTATTCGAAATCAACAGAACTTTTATATAAAAGAATTTAAAAATTCTGTAAAACCTTAACTTATAAAGTTGCAAGAGAAAAAGATCTGGTTCCAAAAGAACTAAAAATCTATCGACAGTAAAAATTCCAGTGATACGGAACCTTTTTAAAAATGTAAAAGTTTTTTTTTCCGTTTTGAGCCCAGCTTATAAGTTATAGTTATTGTATAAATGGTGATTTAAATGGTCACTATAAATTCATTAATATCTTCTATAGTATTTACTCTTAAGTTTTCCTTACTTTTTATATTTTAATGTGATTTTGCCTGATGTATTGAGTGAAGTAGGCAGCGATATGTCTGTTTGAAGGAAACGATTAGTATCTTCACATATTATTTGATATTTCAAATGCTTAGTAATATCTAATGAATAAAGTAATTGGGTTTTTTCGCGCATTAGTTTAATTTTATACAAACAATTTCTTATCCAAACAACATGCGATCTTTAATCTGGTATTTCGCGTTCTGCGGGATACCTCTTGACCCCACCGTAGTTCAAGTTTCCGGATTCAGTAATTTGCTGATAAAAAATTAAATTAATGATCCGTGATATAGCAGAGTGAAGGTCGAGGAAGTTACCTTTAGCACGGTGGCACTGTCCAACTCCTCCTCCTCCTCGCTGGTGGAGCCCTCCCCCTGGCGCTCGAAGGGTATCGGCCCGTGTACGAACATGGTCTGAGGGAACACCTCCCAGGCACGGTCTAACACCAGCCAGCTCTGACACCGCTCCTCCTCCGATAGGATAGATCGATCTCACCTTGTTCTACTCCAGTCCTAAGCGGGGCATTTAGCGCCCCCGCGGCTCTGCGTAAGTACCTCTTAAGATATTATGAATATGTTGAACTTTTCTCTTTATAGCCGTGCGAAGGATCTAAACAACCCTCAATAGTAACAAACCACAATCTTTAAGCACACAAAAATAGAATATATTCCTTTTTTTTCATTTATTGAAAATTACAACTGTATGAATAAAATATAATAAGTAAATCTGCGGATAAAACAACAGTAGCTTGAGAAGAGATTACACATTAGCATTGGCCGATCTACGGATAATCTAAGCCCCCCTCTCCAAAATGGAAATATTATTATCTTCTTATTTTTCTTTTTTTTTTATTAAGGAAGTCTACGTTTATAATTTTTTCATATTTAAGGCAATAATACTTCCAATTTCCTTCAAATTCTTTTAATTACATTTGTTATCTCTAACGTTTCGGGACAATTTTACCATCATCAGAGCAATCTTTATCTTCACTGAAATTATGCACATTTTATATTAACTTTATGAAAAAAAAAAGTAAATATAATTTTTTTCATTAGTCCATATTTGTAACTATGAGTGATATAACTTAAATATATGATTAAATAATATGAGTGATATAAACATAAATACTTAAACAATAGTAATATTTTCTATTTTTTAAATTTTAATACACATACAGCTAATAAATATAACCGTGTCTTATGAAAAAAAATGTTAAAAAAATATATTCTTGTTCATGTAATTAAATTTTTAATCATAGGACTTAAATAACCACTTAAATACTATTTTATATAGGAAGTTAATTTCTTTCTTTTTCTTTTCAAGTAATTATCTAGAAAATAAGAAACAAATTTGAATAGCTCAAAGTTATGAAAGAATGGCTCTTCAGAAAAAATTTAAAAATGGACTATTTTTCTTTATCTTCGGTGTACAAATATATTTCGAGCCAAGTCAGCAACAAGTGGAATATTCTGGTCTTTATGGGTAATTTTATTTGTGAAGTGCTTTAAGGATTCTGTACAAGGATTTTGGATTGTAAGGATTGGATACGAGAAGAGTTCCATGATTTTGTGAAGCCACAGAGCTCAATCCCTAATGTCTAAATGAGCCTCATGATGTTAGATTATATCAGTTTTTTGTAGTGTACTGGATGTTTAGACTGTTTTTCAGCAGAGTGCGTAACTGTTGTGGTAAGCAGAATCTACGTTGTTCATTTTAAACAGTCGTTTACACTCAGGTAAAAGTTTGTAGTTCGAGCATCACAATATGACACAATCAAAAAAAGGGTTGTTACAGTCTTATCACACGGTTGCATGAAGCATAAAGAAAGTTTGAATACTTCACGAAAATAAAAATTGTTATTTAAAGATATTTATGCATATCAAAGATATTTTCGAATATATTCAAGCATATCCGATTAAATTATAATGAAAACCATCAGTGCATAAAGTTAAATATAATGATAATAAATGATATAAAGTTCCAAATAGGAATAAAAAATTATAAACCTTATATTATCTTTATACAAGAGCCCAAAACAAAAGGATCAAGTTAAAAATGATTAAAATAAAAAAATCTACATTGCAACAACTTCAAACATCTTTGAATTAACTTAAAACTTAATGTGAAAATTACCTAACATATAAAAATCGTTTTATAAGATGAAGTCATGTCTTTTACGAAAAAAAATTGAAAAAGGAATTATATCCATAATATTATATAAAGTATTATAAGAATATTATATTAAAATATATAATATAGTACATAATTTTGGAACAGGGATTATGAAGATAAAACATTTTCAGTTATGAACAAAATTTAATCAGATAAAATACAAATTGAGTGTCTTACTAAGATACCTAACCTGTGAATTAAAAACAAAATAAATCATTTACTTAATCACTCCTTTGGATTCGACCAACGAAATAGAAAAAAAACAAAACAAGAAATCTGATTTATCAATATGTCTGGTACAATGCTAGATATCAACATATTTATGGAACTATTTCGATCGGTAGTTCTTCAATGTTTTTAGTAGGGTCCGAAAAAAAAAAACAACTAATAAACCAATAATTTCAATTTCCTATGATATACTATTTTGATCAATGCAAAAACTAAAGTCAATGTGACAAATGCCAAAACTATAAAAATGCAATAACCTTTTATTTACTATGGCCCATTAGCATCGAAACTCCTCCGGGAATATTGTGGACTCCCCAATGGAGAGGAGACCTAGGCTAGAACGACATATATAGTAGCCCAGGCTATATATGTATACGGTTTATTACCTATAATATAATATAATTACTACTTGTATGGATTATTCATCTCTTTTGTAAGTTATTGTTTGATTAAATGACTGTAAAACATTGCAAAACTAGTGAAACTCTGGTAACTGTTACAAAATGTTGAGGGGTGGAACAAAGAGTGGCGTTCGAAAACTATGACCTAGATATGCAATTTAACTAACTACGTTGCCAAAGTATTGAAATAAAAAAAAGGATTATGCTACAGTTTTAATGTATTTTCACGAAATTTTTATAAACGATATACAACTTTATAACAATATTACATATACAAATGTCGTATAAAGATAAGAAATGATTTGCAGTTAAATGTGACTTAAGGTAGATAGAATATATTTTGAAGCCTTGGTGACCAATTCCAATAACAATGGTGACAACCACTGTTTAGATTTGTCATCAGTCCTTGGCAATCAATCATTTTGATGTAAAGAATTTAATAAGCTAATACCTCACAATAATTTTTCAAAAGACATCAATAACCACCACACAAAGCAGAAATTATCGACACACAGAATACCATGATTTAGTTGTATTGTGAGTTAATAAATGCATATTAAAATAATAATAATAATAATAAACTACCCAGTATGCCAATATAGCTTTTTCGTCATATTTATTGAGAAAATAAGCAAAAAATAAATTTATATTTTGTGTAATTTCTAATGAAGTAACTACTTTCATGTGTTCTTCCATAGTTGACGTTAAAACCCCTTAAGGCAATATACCAATTTGAAAATATATATACTTTAGTAATGTTTTACTGAATTATTACTCAAGTTGAGAGCTAAATAATTCTGAGCAATTTTTTTTATTTTATTAAAGACAGAAATATTATTGAACGTACAGCGAATTGTTGGGGAAATTTGGTCGAGAGTTCGATCAACATCATATCAACACACAAATAACAAGTCTCATTTTATTGTGTGGGGAAATTTCAGCCAAAGTTTGAGACCTTCATCAGGTCTAAGTAAAAACAAGAGAATGATCTATAAGAAATAGTAAGAAAACAGTACATAAAACATGAAACTTAGAAGATCAACATCTGTAAAGAAAGAAAGAAGTTTGAAAGAGTAAGAGATGTAATGGTAAATCAAATAAATATTTATAAATAATGAAAAATAAAATTAATAATATATGAATGAAAACTTATGTTATGTAAAAAAAAAAAAAAAAAAAAAAAATATATATATATATATAAGTTAAGCGTCGTCGGACTTAAGAAATAAAAAAAAAGAAGGAAAAGGGAAAAGATGTAACATACACGACTTCTGAAATAACACTGCTTTATTCGTTCCATAAGCCTCCTTATATACACTTAGCCTGTTTATTTACATTACCAGATAGTATTAAGGCTGATACCGCCAGTCTCCGGTCTTTATCTCCCCCCCACCAGTTTACGAACAGGATTTTCGGAAACTTAAATATTCCTAGATCGGAGCCCACGGTGACCAGCCTTAACACTTTACAATTGGATTTACAGTATACCCTTAAAAGAAAATAAAATAGTTCCACTCAACTGGAAAAATAATAAATAAAGAAAAAATAATTAAAAACACTGAAACTAAACACAGCACTTTAGAACTCCTACCACTTGAGAACTCCTAACAACAACAAAAAAAAACACAATTTCCTCTATACATGAAATAATACAAAAAAAAAATTTTTTACAACTTGTTTTGTTTTGACAGCCACAAAAAAACATATTTCTCTGTTTTATATACAGCGGTGAGGGTACTACGAATCCGTAGGTCTATGTCCCGACTCTATCATTGGGAGCTTTAATTGTTCGATATGAACGGTTCTCCTCTTTCTGGGCTCATTCACGCTCTCAATAGTTACCAGGTTATGCTCCCTAATAACAACCACTCTGAATGGACCCTCGTACCGTAGCAATTGTTTCCCTCTGTTGGTTCCCAATTTCCGGTAAACTATTGTTCCTATTTTTAGTTCCCCCATTTGGTCGCGTACCTGTACATTCTGCCTTTCCACCCGCTTCTGCTTTTCCCGCTTAATTCTCGCCGTTATCTTTCCCCATGTTTTCTCTACCTCTACCCTATTGCTGAGAATTTGATCCACTAACGGTTCGGTAAGCGTAGTTTCCCCATAATCCCGCCTTGGCCTGCGCATCCCGAATAGAACTTCCATGGGTGAAAACCCCGTTACGGAGTGGATCGAGTGGTTATAGGCTGTTACCGCTTTCCTCATTGCCACATCCGGCTCCAACCCTTTTTCACCCTGATATACACGGACGTGGTCGCTTAACGTACTGTGCAGCCGTTCAATACCGCCTCTACCTTTAGGATGTCCTGGGGTGTTATAATGCCACGCAATTTCCAATCGCTTCACCTCCTCCCTAATCGCGGCATTGTCGAACTCCCTACCACCGTCCGAAGTAATCCTCTCGGGGACCCCATAGAACTGCACCCAGGTTTGTAGGGCTTCCGCAACTGCATTGGCTGACTTCTCCATCACTTGGTATGCCATCGCCACCTTGCTGAATATGTCGATTACCGTGACCCACTTAAACCCTTTCCAGGTAAACGTGTCAATCTGAAGGTCCTGTAGCGGCATATTCCCTGTAGGTGTCTCCTCCTGAACTCCTCTGG